ATATACTATATAAGCTGCATACCTCTAGGGTAATGTGAATATCCATTATTTTGTGTAGACTTTGATGGCTAAAGTAAAAGGAATAATCAGACAATTATTATTGGTTGGGCTTYCTGTGGAAACTGATCCACAGGTAACCCAACCAACAATTGGTTCAGCATTGCTACAACAGATTTACTTGTCTGCATTACTAAACTATGCAATTTATGGTATAATATACATTAATCACACAGGACACAATTTTTTACTGCATCTTTTTGCCAYAATGGTTTTAATASAACAGATCTTATTTGTCTTGGTACGATGTTTTCAGACCACRTCATTCACTAGAATATGATTTCTTTGTCTAAAAGTTGYGCATGAGAAGACACATACACATGCACATATAGATATGCATTCATATCAACAAAGAATCTTATTCTCAAGAGAATGGTATGTRGTCTGAAAAAAAAACATTATGCACAAACAAACATGGTATACAGACTGTGACGATGCCAAAGGATGACAAAAGATGTCTTCAAGGCTGCTAAGAACATAAAGGAGTATAACTWTGGTGATCAACTTACTGATGAACTTGAAGGACGCCCTGAATCAGAATGTCTATATTCTCTGGCATGYACTGGGTCTTCACGAACACCATAATGACCCCTCTCATCTCCATTCACATAATACTCATCATCCTTAGGGTAGTCTAATGATCTTCTTGGTTCGTATCCATGGTAACCATTGATTATATCAGGCTCATAGTCTGCGGCATAGTTGGGTCTATCTCCACCTCTACTTGAGCTACTGTGTGTGGTGGTAGACCTGGCAGAGGGCATAGGGTGTGCTCCATTGGTTGTTGGTAACTCTCTGTAAATCAAGGTCCAGTTATTTTATAACATGATCATGGCTTAAAATAATGGTCGGTCATCAGACTTGAAAAATTGGAATTTTTCCGGGTCAATCCTGGCTTTGCCGGTCATTTTGACCAGTAGCATTGAGCCAGAARCAARGTACATGTATGACYGAGCTGAAAMTACTTTKGCYKGTCWTCATGACTGRCTTATTTTAAACCCTGCATATTCTTATCACTGACACTACAGTACAGGCGAAGAAGTCATCATGGGCTGCCTGTGGTTTCCTAACATAATACAAAGGGTGATACAAAGCCCTACTTTACAGACACCCTTTATCTTTTGTATGCATCTAT